AGACAGGGGGTCTTAATAAGCAGAGGTTTAGAAATTCACAAAAATGAAATAAGCGAGGGGGACATTTTTGTTTGTTTATAAAAACAAATGAGGTGTATAGTGCAGTAAAATTATAAAACATGGAGTGGTAGAATGATGGAATAGAATGCTAAATGGAAAGCTATATATATGGAAGGGTATGTGAAAGCAACAGAATATCTTAGAATAAAATATACATAAATGTGTTCCTCTAGGTCTTTTAAACCTTATTCTTGTGTTAGTTTATGTCTACAACTAATAATTTCCTTAAAATCTTGTTTGTAACTTGAACAAACTTAGCCAGAGCAGTATCATAAATTATATTACACAAGACAGAATGTATACACATGGAATGCTATATGAAATATTCAAACACCACAATGCTTTGTAAATTCATTGTTTTGTGGTGTTTTACTCCATTTTAAATTGTCATATAAAAATAGAGTGTTTCCAGATTTCGAACATGCAAGCAATGCAGTTATAGCAGTATGTGTCAAGTACAATTGTTAAAGTAATGCAAAGGAGTTCTTCCCCAGGTTTTTCTTGGGAGAAAAGTAAAACATTGTTCTTGGGAGACATTGTTTAATAGAGTAACATTTTTTACTCACCATATCTAGGATAACTGATAAATGACCAATAAGATGTTCAACTTTTTCATCTTTCAAATAAATTCTACAATGAGATGCTGTCATTAAACATGCATATTGGCAGAATGTACACAAAAAACATTTGTGACAATAAAGTACAAAGGTAAATTCATTCAAAATACAATTTTGGTGATGCTGTAATGGGTTGACTTTGAAAAGTTGAAACGAAAGGGTTTAAAGATAATTACCTTTTATTACCATATTATTTTATGTAAAATTGGAAAACAAGATAAATGACCAAATTTTATCAGTTTCATTACATGGCTCTGACAGCTTTGATGTGTTTTACTCAAGAAGCAAAAAAACCAATTCACTTCAAGAATTATCCTGCTTGCATCTTTCAGGGTGTATTGCTAAACTCATGAGAGGCGTTCAATGTATTTGTCTACTTAGAAACATAAGCTATATGGGCATTGTCATAAAAAAAATCAGTTCTCTTCTCCCTATTTGCATGGCTTTGAAAATTATAGTAATAGCTTGCACCAACCTGTGGACATCTCCTGCTTTATCAGCTATGAGTGGGGCATCCTCTTTTTTGGAAAACACCAACTTCATAGGCTTTCTTGGAATGTGCCTGGAAATAAAGAAAAATAAGCCTCGAGATTAAGAATTATAAAAAAGACTAGAATTCAATTGAAAGTTGTCCTCTTGATTGGAAAGAATTTAGGGAACTTGAAAGCAGGAGTACAATTATTAAAAAACAGGGCACAGTATAATTAAAAAGATGTAGATATTTTTTTGCAAAGGAGGCCCAATTTCAGCTCTAGATTTTATAAATTGTTCATTCTTAAATTAGATTGCCAACCAATATGATAGTACATATATATAACATTTTGCTTTCAAAATGAATAGTTTCTTGACATTTTAAAGGCAAACAAGCTGAATTAGTGGTTGTGAAATACATGAAATGGATTTGATGATACGTTTTTTACAAACCTGTTAAATTCAAGACTCCAGGTAGATGTATCC